AATTGCTGAGCGGTCAGGTTAGAACGGATAAAAGAAAGTACTTCTTCACCCAAAGAGTGATTCACACATGGAATTCACTGCCACAGGAAGTGGTGGCGGCTACAAGCATGGACGGCTTCAAAAGGGAATTAGATAAGCATACGGAGCAGAGGTCCATCAGTGGCTATTAGCCACAAGGTATTGATAGGGGCTCTGGGGCAGGTGATGTTTTGTCTTCTTGGTGCTTGGGGGGTCAATAGTGGGAGGGCTTCTAATGTTCTGGCCCCACTGGTGGACCTCCTGATGGCACTGGTATTTCTAGCCACTGTGTGATCCAGAGTGTTGGGCTGGATGGGCCTTTGGCCTGATCCAACATTGGCATCTCTTATGTTCTTATGTTCCTTCACCTTCTCAGCTGCTTGCTTCGTCTTTTTGGTAGTTTCATTCCGTTGGAGCTGCTGAGCTGCAAAGTTCTGGTTTAATGTTGTCAGCTGTTGGTTGATATTCATCATCTGATCCAGTAGAGGGCGCAAAGAGTCCACTAGCAGCTTAGAAAACTCTGTGGTATCTTCCGGTCAGGGGCTCATGCTTCCAGCCGGTTGTCAGCAAGCTGCCATTGAATGGTGTGCTCTGTTCTACATGTTACCTTATGCTCTGGTCATCCCCCCCTCATGTTTCTTCCTGAGTAGGTGTTTACTGTCTTTGCTTGCTATGCTGCGGAACTGCTCAAGGTCACACAGCTGGAGGTGGGAAGGAGTTATGGCGTTGCTCTGCTTATTATGTATTTGATGCCCGAGAACTGAACTTGTGTTTATGTTGTAGAACCGTTGGGTTCCCAAGGAATTGGGCGCTCGTTTTATCTACATTCCCGCCAGCGGGAATTGGGCTCATTGGCTCTCACCTGGTTCAAGTTCCTTTATTATGTTTCCCTATGAGACTTGTAGTCAAAAAAAAAAAAAAAGACTTGTAGTCATTACTAACAATTCTTGTGTTCCTGATCTAATCATCGCTTTACAATAAATTCTACTTTGTTCATCAACCGTGGATTTGTTCGAATGCATGGGGAATCGGACACCGGTTTCATTTTTGCCCGCCTTTCTTTCTCCGCTTTTCTCAGCGCCATTTTTATGGATTGCTTACTTTTAAAAAGTTTTGCTAAAGTCTCTGCAATCCGGCCAAGCACTTATTCACACTTTCATGTGCTCTTCAAACCAGATTTTAACGCTTATAGTTCCACCCCCCCCTGGGAGATCGCTGCTTTGCTCATGCGTATAGGAGGGGCCCCTCCCCCGCTCGCTGGTCTCGCCAATCCCGGGGGGCTTTCTTTTATAATCCTGGTGTTTGCGTTAAACTCGACTCACTGGTGGTCTGGAGACCTCGCCACAGGTACGTTTGCAACGCCCGATCTCCAACGCTTGTCCCAGTCGGCGTCTCTAATTCCATTCGGATGCCCAACGGCCGGACCATCAGGGTGGAGGAGCGCCTCAATTCTCCAGCATCGCGCTGGCGAAGAGGCCACCCCTCAACAGCCCCATGGCTAGGAGCCTTTCACCAAGGCTCCGGGTGTGTGTGTGTGAACAATCGCCCCCCCCGAACCACTGGCACGCGGATGGTCTCCCCGGGAGGTCCCCGGGGAATGCGTCACCATTAAACCAGAAGTCTACTATGGCACAGTTGAGGCACAGACGTATGTCTAATCCCAAGAGAGATCCAGGCCCCTCCTGAGTAGGGGGGGGCAGTGGATGGAGAAGGCTGCAATACCCCTGCTATACTTCTGTCTCTCATTTACATCATCCCATCCCCCACTTTAGGCCTGTTGCACCTGAACTAAATGGGTCCTGCTGCCGTCGGAGATACGAAGCCCTGGAGCAGTGCTTGCAGATAGACAGGAAAGCCTCCCCACCAGTCACAGCCCCTTCGACCCAGGACATCCGGGGTGTGACTTGCTCTTCTGCATGAGGTAGGGGTACCTTGGCAAAAGTGCTTTGGAAGTCCAAGTATACAAAGCCTACCAAACTGCCCTGATCCACATGCTTGTTCACCTGCTCAAGGAACTCCAGAAGGATGGTCAGGTGGGACTTCCCTTTGCAAAGGGCATGCTGAGCGTCCCTCAGTGGGCCAATCCCTTGACATGCTTAACAGGCTATGTTTGATAATCGTTTTTGGTGACCTCCTTACATTTGAATCCAGTTGCTCCTCAGAGGCCCACAGAAGCCTTTGAGAAGTCAGCACATCCCCAGAAACCAGTTGGAATGGAGGTTCTTGAGTCTTTATATCCCAGTCAGAAAAATGGGAGAGAGGCTGCAAAAAGGAACTTGGGATGCAAAGTTACAAAGCGCATCGTAATCAGCTTGATTGGAAACCCACGAAGTGTCAAAGTTTACATCTCTGGCACCTGGCGTCACACTTTATGGCACATGTGGCCCAGTCCGACAAAGTGGCATTCATGCCGGATCCAGTCCTCGTGACAAATGAGTTTGACACCCCTGCTCTGGGGGCTTTTGTGGCATCACAGTCACAGCTCAGCCAAGGAGGCCTCGTTAGCTGGGTGGCTCCACTGCCAACCGAGAGGGTGGCAACCTCAGGGAAAGTCTGGCAAACTGGACTGGCAGGATGAAGAGAAAGAGGAGGAAGGAGCCAGCCCTGGTGTGTCGACTCGTTCATTATGGCAGAGCGATTCTGAGGCACTGGTTGGAATATCCCATTCGTGAGTCCTGGGTTCACAGCAATACTGAGCCACGTGGCTAGGCCCCTGGCTCTCGGCAGTCTCTGTCACTCGCCCTGCCCAAATCTCCAGGTTACTGGGAGGAGCCAATTGTGGGGGCAAGAGCCATGTGAGCCACCCCAGACTCCATGGATGGAGGAAGGGAGGAATAAATGTGCTTTGGTGTGCCGTGAATATGGCTCACTGTGTACTCTTTCAGAGAGTGGGAATGGGTTTGATTGGTTAATTGGGTTTGCACGAAACCTTTATAAAGTTTATATCTCTGGTACCTGGCATTACATTTGATGGCACGCATGGCCCAGCCCAACAAAGTGACATTTATGTCAGATCCGACCCTCACAATAAATTAATTTGACACCTCTGTGAATCTAGGACAGTGGTGGGGAACCTATGGCACGGGTGCCAGAGGTGGCACTCAAAGCCCTCTCTGTGGGCATGTGTGCCATCGACCCAGCCAGGCCCAGCCCGCCATTAAAGTGTTGAATTCCCTGCCAAATAATTTCAAGTAAATGAAAGCCTTTGGGATTGCTTTCCTTACTTTGTTTGGATCCTCTTAAGTTAGTGTATGAGTTGTTTTTCCTAAAGTACAACCTCAGTCTTCAGGTTAAATTGCCGTGTTGGCACTTGGCGATCAATAAGGGGGTTCTGGGTCGCAGTTCGGACACTTGGTCTCTAAAAGGTTCGCCATCACTGATCTAGGAGGTCAAGGAGTAGTACAAATGGAAGGAGATTTCTGCTTGCTCCTGTGACACTGGTGGGCACACGTGTACTTATAGCATAGGAATGAGAGACAGCGCGGCGTGGTGGTTATGAGCGAGTAATCTGGAGAACCGGGTTTGGTTCCGCACTCTTCCACATGAAGCCATCTTGGTCCAGTCACAGGTCTTTCAGAGCTTTCTCAGCCCCCAAAATAAGTTTAGCTCACCATCTAGTGGTGCATGATGCTTAAGGGCTAGAACTTAAAGCTGCCAGACAATCTTTGGATATCCTGGCTACACTACACACATTGCCAGATGATGATGATGATGATAAAACACAGGAAGGCATAGAGGCAAGTTATGTTATCGGCCATGTCATTTTCTTGGCCACCAGACCTCACCCAGCCCAGCAGAATTGGAGGTTGTGTTACGGATTAACAGAAAGCCTGCCAGAAACAGTCTCACATCAGAGTGGAGAGTAGAACAGAACTCTGGAGAATGCTCCTGATGACAACTTCTCAACAAAATCTTGCTCTACACAGAAAGTTTTGGCAAGCAGCCTGCATTCCTGGGTTTTCCACACCAATTTTGGGATCTGGCTAGGGGCCAAGAACAAAAAGAGAGAGAACAAAGACCTGGGCTATTTAGTTTCCTGGTTGGTTGGTAACAGGGCCTGTGAGACAGCACATGACGGGGGTGCCTTTGAATCATGGGGGCTGGGCTCCCTCCTGGCCATCAGGGCCACCCCCTTCCAGACCTCGCTAGCAGCAGTGGTCTGAATTCCTGTGGACCATTGAAGCAAATCTCCTGCTGTAAAAGTGGGATGCTAGATGTCCTTGGGGAGCTTGGGCCACATTGACAGGAAACCCGCAAAGTGTCAAAGTGGTGGCAGCACTCCCCTACAATATATGCAGTATCGTTCCTGTGCCACGTTATGTGCCACCAGGTCTCTTCTGACTTATGGCAACCCTATGAACTAATGACCTCCAAAATGTCCTCTCATTCACAGCCTTGCTCAGGTCTTGCGGACTGAGAGGGCCTTTGTGGCTTCCTTGATTGAGTCCATCCACCTCCTGTTGGGTCTTCCACTTTTCCTGCTGTCTTCCGCTTTTCCTAGCAATAATGTCCTTTCTAGTGACTCTTGTCTTCTCATCATGTGACCAAAGTACGATAGCCTCATTTTAGTCATTCTAAGCTTCTAGAGAGAATTCAGGCTTGATTTGATCAAGGGCCCACTGATTAGTCTTTTTGGCTGTCCACAGTACCCACAAAACTCTCCTCCAACACCACATTTCAAATGCATCAACTTTTTCGTGCCCTAGGGACTCCAATACTGCTGAGGTAGAATGGTGAACAACTATTCTCTTTCCTTTTTCATTATTTTAACTGTCAGTCTGCCCACCACCACGACCACCACCACCACGTTCACTCAGAGGTATGTCCCACTGTCCCTTTCTCTTTTTAAAAGACAGTAAATAAAGGTGCAACTCTACCTTACTCTGGACACCCATTTTTGTGTAAGTGATGTTTGAACACGTTATCTCCTTATAGCCAGGTGGACACCCTATAAGCTTTTATCGGCATTTAGTTTTCCCCAAATCTTGCAAAGGTTCATGCTGCTTAGAAGGACTTGGTTTCACAGAATAATGTTGTTGAAATAGCATCTATTGTTATACTCTAGCAGACCCTAAATTGCTCTTGGAATTACTACTGTGTTCCCTGGTACCCCTTCCCCACCTCCAATGCTGGCCATTTATTTCTGCATCCATCAAAAGTATGCATACCGTTTCCAGCACTCCTTTAATCTTGAGTGAGTTTCGACATCAGAGTGATATACAACTAATCTGCAATATGTTCTACTGGCACCAAGTTCAGGCACGCATGTAATCTTCCCGACGTTCCTCTCGGCTTTGAATCGCAGAGGGGACATGCTCCTTCTACAGGTTCAGGGGACCGCCTCTTCCCCTGTCACTTGTTAACCGGATGTCGAGATCTCGAAGTTGGCGCAGAAAGCCAGAGTTTGGGCAGACCCCTCTGTGTTGCCGTACGGTGTTCAAGGCATCCACTAGGGTCTTGTTTTCACAGATCATCAAGAAGGCAAGGACGAGGGTCGCCGAGCGGCTTATCCCCATGGCGCAGTGGACTAGGACTTTGCCTGCAGGTTCAAAGAAGAAGGGTGATCATCATCAGCAATGTTCCCTCTAAGCTGTGGAGTCCTGTGAGCAGGAATCCTACTTTGTGAGCTACTGGGGCATTAAAGTCGTGAGTGAGTGATTTGGCTGTTGCATAAATTAGTTTGCTCTGGAGCCCCATCCTTCCTGAGCCGAGACAAAAAGCTGTGAGCCGGAGGCTAAAATACTGTGAGCTAGCTCACACTAACTCAGCTTAGATGGAACACTGGTCATCAGTATGCTGGCAGGGTTGCCAGCTCCGGGTCGGGAAATACGTGGAGATTTCCAGGGTGGAGGGAGGGAGGCTACAGAGGGCAGCGTTTGGGGAGGGGAGGGGCTTCCAAGGGCATATAAAGCCATAGGGTCCAACTTCCAGAGCAGCCATTTTCTCCGGGGGAACTGATCTCTGGTGCCTGGAAATTGGTAGTAATCCCAGGAAATCTCCAGCCACCACCTGGAGTTTGACAACCCCGTACGCTTATGTCAGGGTAAATGGCATGGGGAACAGTGGAATATATACATAAGAAGTTGCTGCTGCTCTTAAAATACACTGCTCCCTGAAAACGACACCTAGGCTTTTATTGAAGGCAGCCAGTTGGTTGTTCTGACATTTACTGATGAATGTCAGAATCTTCTGACATTTTCCCATAGCCTGTTCAAATCTGGTGACTCACCAGCAAACGTCAATATTATGTATTCATCCAGCTGACTCATGGCTGAACAGAGAAGCCCAAGCAGATAAGGTGGGACGGAAACGTTTTAAATCGTGCGGCTGTAGCACACTCTACTAGACTCGGGAGCGGACTGCATATTATTTTAAGTACCCTGTACTGCCTACTCCTGTATGCATTTTATTGAGTTTCTTTTTCTTCTTTCGGGATGCTTTGGGATGTGCTAAAAATAAGATTATTTTTGGTTCCTTTTCCCTTTTTTTGATTTGATTTGATTTATTAGACTTCTATCCCGCCCTCCCCCGCGAGTGGGCTCAGGGTGGGTTGCAGCATGTCAGTCAGCAACAGAATAACAATCAGACATTGGGGTTTAAATAGAACAAACAAATTAAACAAAATTAACATTAAAAGATAAGATTTAATATTGAGTTTCAGTCCAATCAGATCGACGGCAACTAGTCAAGGCAGGTTCACGGTGCCTCCTGCGATGAGGCTCGGCTGGTCTCCGGGAGCGGGGCAAATGGCACGAGCCATACGGGCACCACCGCAGCGGTTGTGAGCAGGGGAGGCCGGGACGGCTGGGCGATCGGCACCTCAGCCAAAGGCCTGGCGGAAACAGCTCTGTTTTACAGGCCCTGCAGGATTGCAATAGATTTTTTAAACATGTAATCGATTTTTTTTAATGGTTTGTTCCATTACATTTTCTTCAGTTGATCTGTCAGTGTTAACTATTGTTTTTAACTCCTGTTCTTTTTGGCAGGGAACAGGTGTTCTCACCATTGGAACTTCCCCCCATCTAAGAGGATGAAATTCTCAGGCACTGCACCGCTCGCCCAAGGGATCCGCTCTGTCTCGTTTCAGGTAGGGACGAGAAATTACCTGCATGAGAGAGAACCTGCAAGGACTTGCAGTGGCCACCTCATTCCCCTGTATTCTCTTCCACATCCTATTTCCTCTGGCAGCCCCCACACCAAATTGGGGTTGGGAAATTCCTAAAGGTTTGGGGTGTGGAAACTGGGGAAGGGCCTCATCAGGGTGTAACCCCATACAGACCACACTCTCCAAAGCTGCCATTTCATGCAGAGGCCCCGATCCCCGTCACGTGAAGACCAGCTGTAATTCCAGATCTCCGTGGCCTACCCTGTCTGCCTGCACATGTGTTGAGGAGGGCAGGGAGCTGTTCCTGTTGGCAGCAGAGGAGAGGACTCGCAAGGATGGACGGGGAGGTACTGGCTGGATCTCAGGGGAAACCTTTTTCTACAGGAAGAGTCGTGCAGCGGTGGGATCCGCTGCCTCGGGAGGTGGTGAGCTCCCCCTCCCTGGCAGTCTTGAAGCAGCGGCTGGTCCTTCGTTGAGCAGGGGGCTGGACCAGATGGCCTGTGGGGCCCCTTCCAGCTCTGTAATTCTATGATTCGTTTTGGCAGTTAAGAACATAAGAACATAAGAGACGCCAATGTTGGATCAGGCCAAAGGCCCATCCCGTTCAACACTTTGTGTCACACAGTGGCCAGAAATACCAGGTGCCCTCAGGAGGTCCACCAGTGGGGCCAGGACATTAGAAGCCCTCCCACTGTTGACCCCCCCCCCCCAAGCACCAAGAAGACAGAGCACCACTTGCCCCAGAGCCCCTATCTATACCTTGTGGCTAATAGCCACGGATGGACCTCTGCTCCATGTGCTTATCCAATTCCCTCTTGAAGCTGTCCATGATTGTAGCCGCCGCCACCTCCTGTGGCAGTGAATTCCATGTGTGAATCACTCACTGGGTGAAGAAGTACTTCCTTTTATCCGTTCTCACCCGACTGCTCAGCAATTTCATGGAGTGCCCACAAGGAGTTCTTGTATTGTGAGAAAGGGAGGAAAGTACCTCTTTCTCTACCTGCTCTATCCCATGCATCATCTTATAAACCTCAGTCATGTCACCCCTTCCTATTGCTCATAACCACCAATCATTTGTCTTGGAGAAGGGAACTATTGGGCAGTGAAGTATATGGATTAGTGATTTTCCCTACCCCACGGTGGGTTTCTTCCTATTGGGAAGACTGGCTTTTCCTTCTGTTTGGTTTTTCTCCTAATCCGGCCTGCTGCAAAAAGATGTCGCTGCAACTCTGATGAGCAATGACTTCACAGCCACCTGCTCGGAGGCAGTCCCTGGCAAGCAGGGTCAAGGGAGGATCAGTTTACCCCGGGTCTCTGGGCTGTCTCCCATCAGTGGCATGAGAAGAAACCGAATCCCGTCCCTAAATATAGAGAACAAGAAGGGGCCAGTAGAGATATCCAGGCAGCCACAATCTCTGACTGCAAACCAGCTTTAGAAACATGTGGATTTTTTTAATGTTGGTGCGGAATCCAATATTTCAAATCCAAAATGGATTCGCGAAGCTTTGTCCTTTCGAAGCTTTGAACACTGATATAGTTGAGATACCAAATTTTAAGAACTTGAAAAACTGACATATATCATGTTGCCATTTGCAGTTCTGACGCTGAACATTCCAACGCCTCAGCTGGAAACTTAAGCTGTGGCATCAACATTTTAGTTTGGCATGTGAATGATGGTGCAGATTTTATGATCTATGCAGTCCGGTTTATTGTCAGTCCTACTCTACAGGGTCCCAACATCTGTTTCCAAAAGAGGAGGCCCTGCATTGCTCGGGTCTGCCTGGGTTGTGGGCCCAGCAAGAATTATGCCCCTAGAATAGGGTTGTCAGTTCCCCTCTGGCCGCTGGTAAGGTGTGGGGGGACGGGGTTGCCATCTCCAGGTTGGGAAACTCCTGGAGATTTGGGGGTGAAGCCTGGTGAGGACAGGGACCTCAGTGGAGTCCACCCTCTGAAGCATCCATTTTCCCCAGGGGAACTGATCATTGTAGTCTGGAGATGAGCTGGAATTCCGGGGGCTCTCAAGGTCCCACCTGGAGGCTGGCATCCCTACCTTAGACTGAACTGGATTCTCCCATTCCCTCTGCCACCAAACCCTGTACTCCTCTTTAGATAACCAGGCATTCTACATGCAACATCCCAACATGAAGTACTAAGGAATATGTTTACGGATGAACATATGGAGCAGAGGTTCATTAGCCAGAAGGTATAGATGGAAGACTCTGTCTGGGGCAGGGATGCTCTGTATTCTTGATGCTTAGGGGGCAACAGTGCAAGGGAGTTCTGGCCATGCCGGTGGACCCCCTGATGGTATCTGGGTTTTGGCCACTGTGTGACACGAAGTGTTGGACTGGATGGGCCATTGGCCTAATCCAAAATGGCTTCTCTTATGTTCTTGCTCGAACAAGGCAAATAGCTTTTGTTTTTTACTTCATTTATACCATGCTTTTCTCTCCAAGGAGCTGCGGTGGCTCAAGTGGTTAAGACGCTGAACTGCAGGCTGTGGAAGGTCGGTAGTTCGGCAGTTTGAGACCCGAGTGTGCCGCATGACGGAGTGTGCTCCCGTCTCTAGTGCCAGCTCCTGCCAACCTAGCAGTTCGAAAGCAAGAAATTGCAAGTAGATAAATAGGTACCACTTCGGTGGGAAGGTAACAGCGTTCCGTGCGCCTTGGTGTTTAGTCATGCTGGCCACATAACCATGGAAACGTCTTCGGACAGCGCTGGCTCTTCGGCTTTGAAATTGAGATAAGCACCGCAACCCTAGAGTCAGACTCGACTGGCTTTTGAGCAAGGGAACCTTTACCTTTTTAAATAGGTACCACTTCAGTGGGAAGGTAGCAGCGTTCCGTGCACCTTGGTGTTTAGTCATGCTGGCCACATGACCACGGAAACGTCTTCGGACAGCGTCTTCGGCTTTGAAACGGAGATGAGCACCGCAACCCTAGGGTCGGACTCGACTGGCTTTCGAGCAAGCGAACCTTTACCTTTACCTTTCTCTCCAATGGGGACCCTCACTGAGAAGTATTTTTTTGGTACTTATTAAAACAACTCTTCAATAGGATAACACTCCTGATATTTTATGAAAATGATAATCATGCCCTTCCCGACTTTCCTGTAGGAGTTAAAACGATAATCTTTGATCTGCACCCCCCTAGCCAGGAGCCTGTGTGTAAAATGCCTACCGGGTTTTCCAAGGATACAGATGCTGTCCGGAGGGCTGCCAAGCTCCAGGGGGGGGGGGGGGGGCTGGAGATCTCCTGGAATTACAACTAATCTGCAGGTGGTGGAGATCAGTCCCCCTGGAGGAAATGGCAGCTTCAGAGCGCAGACTCTACAGCATCGCCTCCCAGCTGAGCACCCTCCCCTCCCTAACCTCCACTCCCCCCCCAGGCTCTGCCCACAAATCTCTAGGAATCTCCCAAGCAGAGGTGCTAACGCTAGTCACCATTCCTGTGATAATTACCCCGAGGAGAGTTCAGTGCCGCTCGTATGTATCTGGCGGCTGGATGGAAATAAATGCTGAGATCAAAGTTTGGATCATCGTCGGCTTCAACTCCATAGTAGTCCACTGGGAGGTCTTTGTAGAATTTGGCCCCTGTGTCAATGTGGAACCTTCCAGCTGCTGCGTTCACGATGTGAGTGATGCCCATTCGCCGAAGCTGCTCTAAGTCCCGGGCGATGTATCTGTTAAAAAGATATACAATAGATCACGTGTGGCCAAACTTGCTTAATGTAAGAGCCACATAGAATAAATGTAAGATGTTTGAGAGCTGCAAGAAATGTACAAATATTGCGCACACATTTTAAATGGAAAATATGCAAATTTGCCTTTTATTGACATTAAATGAGACTGCCAAAAATAAAAACAAAAGGGGTAAAAACAGATATTGATAATGATATTTATTTGTCCAGTGATATTTATTGGCTAATGATATTAATTTGTCTAAGAGAGAAAGGTGGAAAGAAAGAATGAATGAAAGAGGTGGAAAGAAAGAAAGAAAGAAAGAAAGAAAGAAAGAAAGAAAGAAAGAAAGGAAGGAAGGAAGGAAGGAAGGAAGGAAGGAAGGAAGGAAGGAAGGAAGGAAGGAAGGAAGGAAGGAAGGAAGGAAGGGAGGGAGGGAGGGAGGGAGGGAGAGAGTTCCCCTCCCTGGGTAGCCTTGAAGTGGGGGCAGCAGAGAAAGAAAGCAAATTTAACTTTAAATGTGTCCTCCAAGCCTCCCACACCCCCACACTGGCTGGCTTGTCTTGGAGAAGGGATTTAAAGAGCCAGCTGCTTTGAGAATGCATTTAAAGTTAAATTTGCTTTCTTTCTCTGCTCCCCCCTCACCTCAAGCCTACCCAGGGAGGGGAACACTGGCTGGGGAAGGGAAGACCAATCAGGGAAACAGGCCTCCCCTTCACTTCCCCAGCTGCCCTGCCAGGAGCCACACAATACGTCTGAAAGAGCTGCAGTTTGGCCACCCCGGCTATAGATTTATATTTATACAGCCTTTTCTCGCTCAGGAAGACTTTGTTCACTTCCAGTCTACAGAAGACGGAAGAAATAAGTGCAGATACCAAGGACCAAATATGAAGCGATTAGGGCCAACCTGGGAGTCTTGTGCATCTAACCAAACTCTTTGGAGCAGAGGGGTCCCCAGCATGCACCTGGGGGCATGGCACAAGGCCAGCCAGTGGACTTCCTTACTTTTGTTTTGCGTTCTGAGTTTTGAAGATAAAACGCAAAGGTCAACTAGACCAGAGAAAAACTCCCTACCAGCTGACTGACCAAGCAGGACTTCTGGCCACAGGTTCTGCAGGTCTTAATTATTGTCACTGAACACAACCAAAACTGGATTCTGCCCTCCACCCCTTGATTTACACAGTGGGAGGGCTTCTAGTGCCCTGGCCCCACTGATGGACCTTCTGATGGCACCTGGTATTTTTGGCCACTGTGTGACAGAGTGTTGGACTGGATGGGCCTGCTCCAACATTGGCTTCTCTTACGTTTTTAAGGTCAAATACTTGCTTTTAACAGAGCGGTTTTTATGGCTTACATGAATGGCTGAAGCTTTGGAGCCAGGCAGATAGCTCGTGGCAGGGAGTTCCAAAGGCCCAGGGCCACTGCAAAGACCTATTGATATTGCCTCTCAGAGTAGTGGAACTTGAAAGAAGATTTCAGCACAGGACCTCAGTGAATGGGGAGGAATATGTCAGAGAAAGTACTCATTAACATGTGCCAAGTTATAGGCTATGGTTATTTTTCTCATCCTATTTTCTTGTGTGTTAATAGGAATTTTCTATTGTTGGAGAGGGGGCCGCCAATCCTCTGGTGGGGGCAACGGCTCCCCCAGTTCTGTTTTCTGCCGTTTTCTGATCAGAGTGCCAGCAGGAGAAAAATAAACCAATAAATAAACAAACTGTTGACGTGAAGGGGTGATGCCACTTTGTGGGGAAATTTGGAAGTGGCATCAGTCTTCTCTAGCAAGTGCTCTGCAGTAAAACCATAAAACTTCTGGTGATTCCTAGAGAAGACTAGCGTGACTTCTGGTTTTCCCCATAAGTGACATCACATTGTCCTTGATGGCAGCCCCCCATGACGCACCACACCGTCTGCCACTGATAGCCAGGCCATGCATGTCAACGCTACCATGGCAGGAGTTATCCTAGGAGGGCCACTGACTGCTAGGATTCTGTTTTTCAACAGAAGTGTCAAGCTTAAAACAAGAGGCCTGCAGATCAAGCACTGTTGGGATTCTTATTAAGTAAGCAGAGTAAGAGACTGAGTCCATGGTGTGTTTAAAATATAAAAGTTTACTATAAACCTAACATGGGAAAAGGTACACAGGATATGAAAATAACAAAGAGCTAAAATGCCTACATCCTTACAGTTACAGGGTAAAAGGCAGGAAGAATGGAGTCTCCTTCTTCAGTCAGAACAAAGACAGGAAGGAGAAGCCAATATGCTAAATACTTGACACATTGGTTTCCAATCAGACTAGCAAGTTCCCGGGCATTCTATTGTCTAAACAGATTGGTTACAAACAAACATGAAAACGTCCAGCGAAGGAGCATCCACCACCTCCCGAGGCAGACATCATTAACCCTGAAAATTCTGAAGTGTTTTGACTTGTAACACCCAACAAGCAGGGCTATTTTTGGGGCAGGAACGCACAGGAATGGAGTTCCGGCTGGCTTCAGAGTTGGCCACGTCCACTACAGCCAAAACACCTGTGCTCGTGGCTACAGAGGGAAGGCCTGAAGAGTGACCCCCCCCCCAGCGACTCCAAAGCAGGCAGGCCAGGGGGGGGCCCTGGAAGGATCGGGGAGGCATTTAAGGGCCAGCTTGCCAGGCATCTCGCAGCCGTGGGGCAACTGGGCAAGTCAAGGGAAGACATGGGGGTGTGGCCTAATATGCTAATGAACTGTGCTGTTGGGGCGTGTGGCCTATTATGCTAACGAGTTTCTGCTGTTGGGTGTGGCTTATTATGCTAATGAGTTCCTGCTGCGCTTTTTCTACAAAAAGAGCCCTGCCAACAAGTACCAATGAGGAGAGAAGGGCAGAGAGTTCAACCCAAGCAATAAGCACAGTGGGCTGGACTCCTCCCAATCGTGGGAGTCAGGTGACTCCAGAAAGCCAGTCCCTTGCCACAGCCATCTTAAGTAGCTTTTAGATATGCCTCCATTTAGGGGAACCTAAACAACGCAAGGATTTGAGGTCTTCTAGAATTAAAACTGATTTCCAGATGACAGAGATCAGTTACCCTGGAGAAAATAGCTGCTTTGGAGGGTGGAGTCTATGGCATTATGCCTCATTGAAGTCCCCCCTCCCTCACCAGGCTCCGCCCAAAATTCTCCAGCAATTTCCCAGCCCAGAGATGGCAACCGTACCACCTCCCCTTCTTCTGCTGTGGTCTGGCTCCACCAACACATAAAACGGTGGGACATTCTCCTATCATATACAGTAAATGGTCCTGATCCACTCAGTTACTGCCTCCAGGTGCCTTTGTAGTTCATGGTTAAGCCAGGCTGCTGAGATTATCTTGAGGCTCAGGGTGCATCACAACAATGCATATTAACAGTAAAATGCAATAAAAACAATTAGCCATACATTACAATCAATCAGCCTATATAAATCAATTAATCCTGAACAATTAGATGACAATCCATAGTACACATAACAACTGCTCCCAGAACTCTACACTTGAGTGCCCGTAGATGATAACATACGAAGGCAAATGGGGGGGGCGAGAGGGAAACAGAAGGAGGCGGGGCAGGTAAAGCGGGGCGGGGGCAGCACGGGTGGGATTCTGCTGTCAGTTAACACTGGGAACCAACGGCTTTGGCTTTTACCTGCTCTTCCCCTCCCCCCCGCACGCGAACTTTGCTTATTGGCTTCAGCGTGTGAGGGGGGGTGTTTGAACCTAGTATAATTCAGGGTGCCATACTGTTCCCGGGCATTCCTCACACAGGCAATACACATGTCACAGTCCTGGTGTACCAATAAACAGAAATATTCTTATGAAGCACACTGTGTTGTGTGACCTGACTATCGAACCCTGACATCTGCCAGGCCTGGTGGAACATCTCCATTTTTGCTGGCCTGTAGGAACTGTATTAGGAGCTGCGGTGGCTCAAGGGGTTAAGACGCTGAACTGCAGGCTGTGGAAGGTCGGTAGTTCAGCAGTTCGAGACCCGAGTTGCCGCATGACGGAGTGAGCTTCCATCTCTGGTTCCAGTTCCTGCCAACCTAGCAGTTCGAAAGCAAGATATTGCAAGTAGATAAATAGGGACCGCTTCGGTGGGAAGGGGACCGCGTTCCGTGCGCCTTGGTGTCTACTCATGCCGGCCACGTGACCACGGAAACGTCTTTGGACAGCGCTGGCTCCTCGGCTTTGAAACTGAGATGAGCACCGCAACCCTAGAGTCGGACTCGACTGGCTTTCGAGCAAGGGAAACCTTTACAGTTAGGAACTGTATTAAGTCCTGCAAGACTTGGATCTCACTTGGGAGAGTGCTCCCCCAGGCCGGTGCCAGAGCTGAAAAAGATTGGATTTGCTTGGATTAGCAACTGACTCCTGATTTTCCTGCTCCTTTGGGTTACACTCTTCCATGTGCCCTTCTCCTATGTTGGGAGCTCCTCCGTTTCCTGAGATACCTCCTCCTCCTCCTCCTCCTCCTCCTCCTCCTCCTGTTGCCCTCTCAAGAGTGCTTCATGCGTTCTGTCCATGAACTCTTCACCTTCCCTTATAAACTGGAGTGTGATCAAGCGTGCTTCAAGTCCCTGTATCTTCTCCTCCAGGAGGGCTACCAATTTACACTTGCTGGAAGAGCAATTGGTGTTACCCCCAGGTAAGAGTACAACCATACCATAGATTTTGCATGTCACTGCCTCACCTCCCTCCCCAGGCATGCCGCTGCGACCCACTGTAGAAATAGTTCAGTATTCTTGCACCTCCCTGATAACTCCCCAGCCAAACTGCCTCAAAAGACTTGCTGAAGCCAGAAAAGCTTGGCACATATAGGATGTAAGAGCCACTCAGCTTCTTACAGGGCCCCTGGGCCTGACCCCCAGGCTAAGAGCCCCCCATGGGGCAGGAGCCCTCGAGCCCTCACCCTTTGGCTCATGCTTCTGGTGAGGAGGAACCTTACACAGCTCAAGGCTCACCCAGTCAGCCCGAGGCAAAACAGACCCTCACGGCTCTGTGCTCTTCTGAAGAGCTGCTCAGAATGGAAGGGGAACTCTCTCCTCTGTTTCCAGAGTTTTTATCACCCCACCCCACCCCACTTCTGTAGGATAGCATTCCTGTCTCTTGACCAAGGTTCCCTCTAAGCTGTGGAGTCTTGTGAGCAAAAATTCTGCTCTGTGAGCTGCTGGGATTAAAGTTGTGAGCCAGCGATTTGGCTACTGCATTAAATTAGTCTGGTCTGGAGCCCTCCCTTCCTGAGCTGAGACACAAATGTGTGAGCCGGAGGCTAAAAACCTGTGAGCTGGCTCAAACTAACTCAGCTTAGAGGGAACAGTGCTCTTGACCCTTCCTAGTTTTATGGCTCTAGGTGTGACTTAATGGCAGAACACGGTGTAGCAAACCCTTAGAGCAGAGGAGTGGAACTCATTTGTTACGAGGGCTGGATCTGACATAAAATGTCACTTTGCCAGGCCAGGCCCCCTGCGCCATGAAATGCAATGCCAGGTACCGGAGATATGAACGACAGCAGGTGGTAAGCTCCGACTTGGTGTATCCTCACCGCAAGGCTCCATGGGCTGGGAGGGAGTCCAAAGGAAAACCCACATGGGCAGACTGGAGAGCCAGCAGGGCAGCACTGGGCAGGCGCCTCCCACACTGCTTGACTGCTGCAGATGAGGTTGTTCTGCCGTGCTGAAGCCACAATCAGAGTGGCTCTGCCCCCCCCCAGTCTCCTGTTCCCTCCCTTGCACTAGTTGCTCGCGGACTGCATAAGAACCCTTGACGGGCCTGTTCCGGCCCCCGGGCCTTGTGTTTGACACCCCTGCGTTAGAGCTTGAGTACTCTGTGCTCACTGGAGCACTCCCTGGAGAAGAAGACCCTGATGCTGGGAAAGACTGAAGGTCAAAGAAGACGGGGACGGCAAAGGAGGAGATGGTTAGACAGTGTCATAGATGCAACGGACATGAAGTTCAGCCAACTTCAGAGGACGGCCGAAGACAGGAAGGCCTGGCTTGATCTGGTCCATGGGGTCGCAAAGAGTCGGACTTGACTGTGCGACTGAACAACAGCAACTCTGTGCTAGGAGTTTAACAGCTCCTGTCTTCCCCCCTTCTTCTCATTATCATTCTTCAACAGGGCTCCTGTCCATGGACAGACAGTATCCACACAGGACTTGAAACACTGGGGTGAAATATTGGGTGGAGGGTGTTTCTCCACAGTAGCAGTAGAAAAGGGCATGAGTCCAGGAGCACCTTAAAGACTAACAAAATATGTGGCAGGGGAGGCGCTTATGTGAGTCACGGCTCACTTCTTCAGAGACCTCCCCATGTAGAGAGGAGCTGTGTTGGTCTGCAGTACAGCAGTTATAGCCGGACCCAGAAGCACCTTCAGGGGCCAACAAGGTTTCCATGGTGTGACCCTTCCGGAGTCAGAGCCTCCCTAGAACTTTGGCTCTCGAAAGCTTAATCCCTGTCCATGGAGAACGAGTTTGGATTCTTCCATTATTTCTGTACAGGTTGGTATATTATTTATTTATTTATTTATTTATTTATTTATTTATTTCGATTTACTATCCCGCCCTAACCCCTGGGGGGTCTCTGGGCGGCTTACAGAAGGTGCTAATCACATTTTTACAGAATCTAACCTAGGGCCACAGACATATATATAGGGGTGGTGACTACCCTACCAGGCACCCTTTTTTCTTGCGGCGGATCTTCGGTCGTTGTCTTGTTCTTGCGGGAGGTAGTCGGCGGCGTCCTTTCCGGTGCTGGTCTTTGAGGTTCCTTCTTCCGGCTGTAGCGATTCCATTTCCGGACCAGGACCACTCGCACTTCCGCGCATGCCCCGCTGCGGCCTCTGTCCTGATGAGGCTCCGGCCTGCTGCGTTGCTCCGCCTCCGCGCCAGTTGGTCCGGCCTCCTTCGCTCGCTCGCTCCTTGCCTCACCAGTCATCATTTTTCGCTGCCGTCGCTCACCGCTCACCGCTCACCGTTCGCCACCGCAACACAGGGACGGGTGCCCCCCTGCTCTAGTAGCAGGTTCCCATTAGTCTAATCGCCCTTTAACGGGCTTTCAAGCTGCTGGTTGGGCGGGAGGTGGGACATAGGGCCGGGTGCTCACCCCGGCCGCGGTGGGGCTCGAACAGCCGAAGCTGTTCGGCCAGATGTACATGCAGGCATCTCTTACCGCCTGCGCCACCGCTCCCAATTATCTGGGCCATTAGTAATCTTTGCTACCTGGTTTGAATATTTGGGTTTAAAAATTCAAAGCTTTGGGCTATGGAGTGCAAGATGTGAGTTGGTAATCACTTCTAGATGCCGCTTAGTGCAAGGCTTGCGAACAGCAATGGAATCAAACGTAACGTATGAGACCCCAGAATGTGCTTTGGGGCAGGTGATTGAATGAAGGGCTTGTGGTTGATTAATCATCTATCCTTTAATGGATTAATGGACTGGTTAAAGAACTTTTGTGTATTTCTGAAAGTCGCTAACTTTTTGAGTGACTGATGGGAATTTAATCGTGAAAGCTACTATTCAACACGCCCCCCCCCCAAAAAAGAAAGTATGTATTTTCTTGTTGGGTTCTCTACAATGGAATTAACTGGAACTCCTCAAAACTCACATACCTCTATCTTGCCCCTGCTGATTAATCAAGGAAAGCTGTGTTGGATTAACCTAGCCGTTAGTAATGCCTGGCTATAAAGAACGCCAGGGCGTTCCCATGTTATTGTTCCAAGTTCTAAGCTGAGGACCGGTGGATGCTTGTGATACCAATGACCCTGGTAGTCCAGTGGAAATAACCTTCTGCCTGCCGTCCCTTGCCCGCCTTTCTTGCCAAGATAGTTATAAATCAACCGGAAGCTACAAAACCACATTTACTTACAAATCTCCAATGTAGAGGTTAGGCCAAACTTCATTGACGTTGCCACGGCATGGTACCGGCGTCCATAGCATCCGCTGGAGCTCCCCGAGGGCTGGTGTTTCATAGCTCTTTGAGCTGTTGGAAGTAAGACTGGAAGCCGTCCGTATTGTGGGACGTCGCAGTTCAGCTCTGTTTAGTGAATCCCAAGACATGCTGAAAGGCAATGGACAGAGATTGACGGTTGGATGTCAGGTAATGGCATTCAAGTGTGCTGGGCTTAGACCAGAGGGATTTAAAGATCCATTCACCATGAATCACACTGGGAGATTTGCAGCCGGCCATTTTTTTTCAGCCTAACCAGCCTCACTGGGATGTTGTGCTGATAAAGGAGGGGGAACCATTTATATTTCCTCAAGCTCCTTGGAGAATGGGTGATATTTATATGTCACAGTAGTCAATTTGGTGTAGTGGTTAAGTGCGCGGACTCTAATCTGGGAGAACCGGGTTTGATTCCCCACTCCTCCACTTGCAGCTGCTGGACGACCTTGGGCAAGCCATAGTTCTGTCAGAGCTGTCCGTGAAAGAGCAGTTCTTGAGAGAGCTTTCTCAGCCCAGCCTACCTCACAAGGTGTCTGTTGTGGGGAGGGGAAGGGGAAGGGAAAGGAGTTTGTAAGCCACTCTGAGACTCCAAGTGAACAGCGGGATATAAACCCAATCCCACAGATAGGGTGGGATATAAATAAATAAGTAACTTCTTCTTGTAAACAGGAAATATAACATTTTGGTTTTGTTTATATAAGGCAGCTTTAACCAATGGCCCAAAGCAACTTTCCTTGATTCAAAAATGCAACCTTAGAACTACTACTACTCCCCCCCCCCCCAGTAAACTACAATTCAAGTATGCAGAACCAATCCCATATTTTTCAGTGGAGCTTGGAGATATCCATAGTGGATTCCGGGAGATTTCCTGCTCCTTGGTTGCTTCGCTTGGGTAACTTGCACAGCCTGAACTGAGATTTGCAGAACATTCAAGGGTGTGTCTGCCAGCCTCCAGGTGGGGCCTGGAGATTTCACGGAATTAACCCCAGATCTACACTTAAGCCATTTCAACTATCGTTGTAAACAACCCTGAACCACTAGGAAAGTGTTGAGTGATAGTGAGATATTGAAAAAATGGTATTTAGCAGAGATAAGATAGTCCAGCAGAGACAGAGTAAAATAATTCAGACTGAGAGTCCATGTGTGATTAAAATATAAAGTTTTTACTAAATCCTAGCATGGGAAGAAGGGTAACTGGGATGAAAATAACAACAGAGCAAAATCGGCTGCATCCTTACTCTACAAAGACAAAACTAGAAGAGGAGAAAGTATGGCTACTCTTCTTGTTCTAGAGAGCCAGTTTGGTGTAGTGGTTAAGTGTGCGGGCTCTAATCTGGGAGAACCGGGTTTGAGTCCCCACTCCTCCACATGCACCTGCTGAATGACTTTGGGCAAGCCATAGTTCTAACAAGAGCTGTCCTTGAAAGGGCAGTTCTTGAAAGAGCTCTCTCAGCCCCACCCCCCTCACAGGGTGTCTGTTGTGGGGAGGGGAAGGGAAAGGAGTTTGTAAGCCGCTCTGAGACTCCGAGTGAATGGCGGGGTATAAATCCAATCTCCTCCTCCTCCTCCTCCTCCTCCTCCTCC